GAAATGACCAAATCCTGGGATCTAATAATTTTTCCCACTGACAAATTGTTAAACAAAAGGTTGGCATTTGTTGTTGCAGAGGTGCTTCAGTGGGCTCCAGTAGGCAGTGATACCTCTGCACCCTGGGAGCCACCAGCATATGTCTACTTTGCAATTATGTTTCTTTCCTAAAGCTCAGGAACCAACCTCTGCTAGCTTCCAACTTTTCTTTTGCAGCTTCCTTTCAGACTTCATAGAATTGAAGACAGGTAGGGCCTTGATCTGGGCTGGGCTTCGGCTTAAGGGAGTGCTGTGGCTGGTTTGATCTTCAATCCAGACCATTCAGACTTTCTCCATATCAGCACTGAGGCTGTTTCAGCTTCTTGTCATCCCTGTGTTCACTGGAATAGCACTTTTAATTTCCTTCTGGAACTTTTCTTGCAATCTTGACATGGCTAACGGCACAAGGGTGCAGCTTTCAGTTTCAGCTTATGTTAGCTTTGGGCATGCCTTCCTCTTTAAGCTTAACATTTGTATCTTTTGATTTAAAGTGAGAGACATGAAACTCTTAGAGGTTATTGTAAGGTTATTAATTGGCCTAATTTCAATATTTTAGTGTCTCAGGAAATACGAAGGAGACAAGGAAATGGCCAGTTAGTGGAGCAATGAAAACACACATGAAATGTATGGATGAAGTTTGCCATCTTATATGGGCATGGTTTGTGGTGTCTTAAAATAATAACAATAGTAATATCAAAGATCAGTGATCACAGATCATCATAACAAATATAATAATAATAATGAAAAGTTTGAAATATTGCTAGAATTACCAAAATATAGCACAGAGACATGAAGTGAGCAAACACTGTTAAAAAAAAATGGCGACAGTAGACTTGATCCATTGTTGTCACGAGCCTTCACTTTGTAAAAAACACAATAAGGTAAAGTGCAACAAAACGAGATATTGCCATACACTAAAAGTCAGTCGGTTGTGGCTCTTTGATGTTAAGAATGGCTTGATTCTTCAGTGCCTTTAGCTTATATTTGTAAGAAACACTTCTGTTAATGTTTGAAACTTATGATATTCACACCACCCCCAGTTACATGTGCGTGCACATTCATGCATGTTAAATAGACTGATCTTGGCCTTGGACAAAGTTCAGTAGCAGGTGAATTTTATTTACAGTGGTCCATGGTGCAATAATTCTAATAGAGGTGGGACTGTTTACAAAGAACTGGTCCAAGTGAGAGCATGCCATTGAAAAGTGAGGTGAAAAATGACCTCTATTCCTCTTGTTACTCAATGCCAACTGTAAATATACATTCATTCAGCCCAGCACACCTATGAGTGGGCATGTATGTAGATTCATCACATTCTCTTGCCCCCAAAATTTTAGATGGTCCAAATGAACACTATATTGTCTAGAGAACAAAAATTTCCCAAGAATCAGCATTTGTTTTAATCAGAATGTAATATTAAAGCAAAAATAGAATGTCTGAGCGTCTATAGAAAGTCTTCCCACTTCCTGCCTCTTGTGTTTCTTATTTTTCATTTTGTCATAGCTACCATGTTTTCTTTTTTTATTTTCCTCTTTTTTCAAGTACCACTCTTTCTACTAATTCTGCTTTCTCTTAATATTACTTTTCCTTCCTTTCTTCTTTCCACTCACCCTGCCAATTTTTTTTTCAATAAATGGTTTTCAGAAAAGATGCATGTATAATTAACAGGGAGTCAAGGATAAGATCAGGTTAGATATTTTAGATACTATTTATTTTAGAAATAACAGAAAAATTTACACCATGGTGTAAAGAAATGAATGTAATGAAGCTGGCAGCATTTCTTAAAAATTACATTTCAATGAGATTTTCTTACTTTAGGAGAAGGCATATGCCTCTATAAGTAACATAAGCTTATCAGCTTCATATATATATATATATATATAGTATGTCTAGAAAAAATTTTATTCAGTGCTAGGGATGTGGAATGAGATTGTTCTGATTGTCCCTTGATTTCAGACCTTTGCTTTACAATGACCAGGAATGTGTGTCTTAACACCCATCACTTGTTCGCTATCCTTGTATATCAAATGCAGAAATCCATATGGCAAATGCAATAAGAGGTTTTCCTTGACCAGATGAAGATGACAGGAGCTTCTTTAAATGGCTTTGTTGAAAAATAAATTCCTAAATTATACACTTATTTCCGTGGTCTCTCTGTCCAGTGAACTTATCCTAGACTCTATCTATTAGATTTATTATTACACTTACTGGCTATTCTTTTAAAATGGTACTCTATTAGAAATATCTCTTTGGATAGAAAATGTAGGACTTGTGTTATACATTTTCTGTAACATGTACAGCCTTACAAACATTAAGGTACACAGCCTATTTTTCTCAGGGATAGTAAGGAGATATAAGAACTCAAAACATGAGAGGTACTAATATTGCTGTTATTATGGCTATAAATTCTTAAGCAGCTAATGTATTCTCTAGATCTGTTTCTAGTGTCAAAACCCTTGTTAAAAGGAATTAGATCGGATTATGATTATGTAGGGGATATCTTAATATTGCATATTTTCTCAGCAGACACTACATATCTATATTATCTTTTATCTCAGTGTGTATGAATAAAAACCCCAGAGCTATTTAGGTCATTGTATTTTGCTATGTGGTTATTTTATCTTGTTATATATCTCACTGTAATAACAATGAATTATGTTTGGCAAAGTAGCCATCTTTTATTAAAGGTGCATTTTAATTTGATATCAGAAACAGCCAGCTTTAAAACTGTAATTGGCCTTAATACCTTATTAGATTCCTTTTGGAGATACACTTACCACAAAAATGTACTCTTTGGGAATTTGACAAACTAGCTGATAATAGGATATATCATTTTTATTTTCCAGGAAAAAGCAAATGCTTCATTATTTGGTTGTTATTTACTACCTGAAAAAGGAAATATAATTTTTAGCTAGCTGTGTGCATGTTAGTTTAGATATCACTTGATAAAACGAGTCAGGTGGGAAAGCTTCCATTTCTTTGTGATGACACATCAAATATGCCCTTATCTCTAAAAACATTAAGAATGATCAAGTGAAGCTTCCTACTTTGTTTTGCTAAGTATCTTTAGAAGTAATAGAAACATCTAAATTATGATATGTTTATTTTGCAGGAGCCAATGAGAAAGAAATTGCCTTAATGAATGCTTTGACTGTTAATTTACATCTTCTACTGGTGAGTTTCCTTTCCCACCAATGTTTAGAATACACTCATTTACAGAATCTGATGTTTTCCTATCTTTAATTCATGAGCATCTGGTGATTTACTTATTTAAAAATAAATTGTGATGTTATTTTCATTTTTACCAGGAAATGCTGGACCATGATATAATGGCTTCTTCCTAATCATGGAAGAGTTGACCCTTGCAAAGAGCTTTAGAATATTGAACAGTTCTTGTCTCAGAAAATAAGGAATAAGAGTCACAATAGATGAAAAGGGAAACTGCTTTGCTGACATACAAAACAATGATGTACAAATGCTAGCAAAGCATTGAACTTTTTGGAAAGACAATTGTCCAATATGTTAGACTTTAGCAGAGTGGGAATTATGGATCAGCATACTTTTGTGGATTAATTTCTGGGGAGTAGGTTGAAAGATTTGGAAAATAAAGCTAAATTGAAGAAAAGGGATCTACTACCTTAAATGAGTCTCTATGTTTAAAATACTTCTTTCATTTTAAATACTCAATAAAATATCAGATATATTCTCGATTTGGGATGTGGTATCTATAGTTATTGCTTGATGCTTTGAGAAATGTTGACTTCATTGTGTAAGTATGTTTTGGAAACATATCTACATGTTCAGACATCCCTGGATTTGACCCCCAGCTAAATTACTTAATGCTTATTTGACATTGGACAAGCTTTTGGCATCTGTATGTCTTAATATTCTCCTTCGTAAAAATGAGGACAGTAACACCTACCTCAAAGATCTGTACAAGGATTAAATGTGATAATACGTGAAAGTTGCTTTTGCACTGGCCAGTGACCAAGACCCAGTTAATAAATGCTATTGCTTTCATTGTTATAATCAATCTCATTCCCCAAAGACTGTGTGAAGAGATGAAAGAGCCCCATTGAACAAATGAACTCCCCCCTCTCCCTGGTGCCTCTAGGAATTACAAATGTTTTATGTTAGAGCTAACATACTTTTAGTTGGACTCAAAATAAAATCCCATAAAATATTAAAAGAGTGGGAATGTTGTCCAGTGGAAACCAAATTGGCAGTATAAAAGAAGTCAATATAAGTACCATAGAACGTGATATTTCAGTGTCATACTACGGAAACTACCATGAAATGCTTTGGGAAGATAATTTTTCAATTAATATTTAAGTAAAGTTTGAGGATTTAGTTTTACCTGATTCACATTTTCCCCTGTGTTGGCTTTTTTATTGATAAACATAATGAACCAGTATCTTCTTTCTGTTTATAGTTCATTGGAAACAAGGCTAATTGAAAAAAGGTACCCCAACAGACATCTTAGATGTTTAATTAATTAATGTCTTTAAAATGCTGGAGATTATAACATGAAAGTGTGGTATAAATGAACAAATGCATAATAAATTGTGCATTAATGCTTTTCCAATAAATCTGTTTCATTGTAGTTATCATTCTTTAAGCCTACGCCGAAACGGCATAAAATTCTTCTAGAAGCCAAAGCCTTCCCTTCTGATCATGTAAGGATTTCTTTAAGTTATATTTATGTTCTTTCTATTCTTCCTAGAGGAGCATATCATTTTCTTGACTTGAATGTTTATTCACTAGTCTTTTCCAAGTAACCTTACAATAAAAAGATCTGTCAAATGCTTTTGATTTAGGCATTTTCATAGATTTTAACTTTATTTCTTTTGTTCAAGTAAAACATGTGCTAAAGGAAGAAAGGATTGAATAGGAACATTGATTTATTAGTCTTTTTAAAGACATTGAGCAAACTGCTAGTCTAAATCATGTGTAGTTATAAATATTTTATTAATTCTTATTGCTATTTTATTTGTATATGAAACCAAATCAATACAAACTCCAGTTCTTAACCCTTTAGCTACATAGAATAGGAATATAAACTTTTATTTGTCCCTTTGTTCTCATAGAATGCTAACATAATTATTGGTGCTTTATTATAAAAAAATCATTAGAGATTAAAAATATATCTTGTGGTTCACTAAAAAAAAAAAAAAAATCACGCTACTTGATCAACAATTTCCTTAATAAGAAATTTGATTGTTCTAGACACAGGTAAAGAGTACATTGTATATGTGTTTCAAGTCAGTGACAAGTTAAAAAATAATAAAAATAAACAAAATAGAAGCACATTATATATTTCAGTTTCAGTGTTAGAAAAAGTTTATTTCTTTATTTATATTATTACTATTCTGGCCTACACCTTATAATTTTTGGACATGTTAGTATGTCAAAATTAATAGCTATTACCTACTTAAATGGATCAGAATCCTAACAATTTCAAAAGATTCCAGGTAATTCCTGTAATTGCTTATTCCCATATATATCTTGTACTCTCAAAGAAGTCAAGTTATTGTTTCTAAGTTATGCCATTTCTGTATCCTATGTTCAAGCATACCAAGTCTAAACTACTCACCTTGGTTATTTTGTAAATTCTGGTTTTGACTTAGGTGATTTAATACCTTATTCCAAAAATCTCTTGTAGCTCCTTAAGTCTAGATGACCTCTACATTTTCATTCTTCCCCAGTATGTAACATTTCAAATTTAGATTCCTGCATGTAAATTATATTAAGCTGTTCTCTGATGTTTTTTGCGTAGGTCTCTTACACTTGACCTTGGATTTAATATAATGTTTGTATTGTTATTTTATTATTTGTTTTTAGTTTTTTAAAAATGTACTTCTGTGCTTTCAGCTTAATTTAATAAATAGATTATCTTTCTTTTCCAGTATGCTATTGAATCACAGCTACAACTTCACGGACTTAATGTTGAGGAAAGTATGCGGATGATAAAGCCAAGAGAGGTATATGAGAAAGAAATAAATATTCATCATGCTTCTATTTAGTATTGATTTTTTCTTCATTTTCCTCAAGTTTATTATCTTGATTACTTTAATGGAACTTTTAAGAAATAATAAAAGACCTATAGTTCTATTACTATTAGATTGCTTTCCTTAAAACAGAGAAGAATGTAGATGTGTATTTATTTTTATTTTTCAAGGGCTAGCCACATGGCAAGCAAACTATTTTCCTATTATAACCACTGCAGTCTTCCATATCCTTCAATGGGGTGGGAAGAGGGTGGCAAACTGGTGTATCATTTTCAGTTTCAAATGTCATCGCCCATGGGTGCCAGTAAAATCATGTTAAAGACCAGTAATACTTGTTGAAATTGAATGATGACTATCTTTCATGTCCTTCCTTAATCTAAGTATCAAACATCTATCTCCTTTGCATTTAGTCTAGGGTAGAAAAAGGGATGTGGTATAGTGGAAAAAACTTAAGCTTTATAACTTGGCTAATAGACTCCAGTGAAATCCCAGACCCTACAACTTACTGGATATATGGGAAAATTTCTTTGGGAAAATTTCTTTGTCTCTTTGAGAATCCTTATATTTAAACAGGCAACAAAGGATACATGTAATCAGGCTTGACCATATGTTCATGATCTAAAATACTGTGTACTTTGTATTAATAGAGATATAAGGCTCAACTGTACAGACTTTGACATATGATCCCTGCAGCTTGTGTAATTTGTCACCAAGAGAATTATACAAAATAAATTTGGTTTTCATATGATGCTCCCAGGCTGCTAAGCCAATGTCTGAACAATTACTTCTTTCAACCCAGAATTACTTTGAAGAAATTAAAGACCTACTCTATTTATTTCCATTTGCCCGCATGCAATAAATTAATGAGATTAAAAAGTTCTACCACTTGTGAGAGGATTTAAATTGTTAAGTTATAGCCTAAATACATATAGGTGTTAATTATCACAAGTTTTAATGTTAAAAGTGACTAGGGTTGTGGGGTCTCATGAGTTATGCATAATCTTGAGACCACTCTTGGGCATTATGTACAAGTCAACATGAGATAGGGCCATATCCTAGCACCAAGAAATATATTTCTTATTTGCTTAATATCAATTCTATAAAGATAAGATATTAATATATATGCCTATTTTTGAATAATGATGGAAAACTGAACTAAATTATTTAAGAATAAAGAGTTTTAGATGCCAATTATTAATTTCTTACAATTAATGAAATTCTTTCCATATATATAAGTTCCACTTCACTTAATAATTCAGAGATTTCAATATCAGTACTGGTACAGATGCCTATTTCGGTTTTTGTTGTTGTTTTTGAGACAGTCTCACTCTGTTGCCCAGGCTAGAGTGCCGTGGCGTCAGCCTAGCTCACAGCAACCTCAAACTCCTGGGCTCAAGCAATCCTTCTGCCTCAGCCTCCGGAGTAGCTGGGACTATAGGCGTGCCCCATCATGTCTGGCTAATTTTTTCTATGTATAATTTTAGTTGACCAATTAATTTATTTCTATTTTTAATAGAGACGGGATCTCGCTCTTGCTCAGGATGGTTTCGAACTCCTGACCTTGAGCAATTCTCCTGCTTCGGCTTCCCAGCGTGTTAGGATTACAGGCGTGAGCCACTGTGCCCAGCCAGATGCTATTTGTAAACAAGTTCCATACTTCTTCAAGTAGAGAGTGTATTACACACACACACATACACACACACACCCCTAACATGGAACAGATTAATTGGCAAATAGCAAGAATTATGAAAAGTTAAAAATAAATGGAAGGATAATATCTTATCCACTTCAGTACTGTGCTCACCAGCCTCGAAACCTTACCCACAGCCGGCACTCATAGTCCCACATGACAGGTTGTGCTGTGCATTGACGACAAATCTGTTTTGCTCTTGTGTGATGAGGAAAGCTTCAAAGCACTAAAAGCTTGTTTTACTTTACAGGCAGCTTTATTTGTCATGTACATCAGAATAGGTACCATATACATATATGTTTTCTTAGCTTATTTTTAATGTTCACAATTTTATTTTGATAATGAAGAATTAAAAAGTCATATCATGGCTGTCGGCTAAAGTTGACGCTCAGCTGTGGCTGTCGACTATAGTAGATGCTGGTACCAAAGTGGTTAATGAGCTTCCCCAAATATTAATGCAATTAATGATGTAATGACCTCAAAATCATGTCATATTTAGCACTGGAGAAAATTTATAAAAACTTCATAAGTAGACCAGAATCTGTATTTAACTGATTTCTTTCAGCTCAAGTTGTTTGTAAGATCAAATCTAAATTCACCACTATTTTCACTAAGTCATCAATCATTAGTTGTACTGGGGAGATATGGGGCAAAAATCCTCTATAATAATGAGTTTTACTGATTTTTATTTATCTCTAGATTAATTTGGAGAGATTTTGCTCTTAAACTAATAGAAGATATTCGTTAGGTAACATCCAGATGAAAGATGTATAAGTGGGGTTTTTTTCTGAAGAAAAATAACGATATTAGATTGAAAAAAGTGCAATACTAATTTCCAACTATTTATCTTCTTAGATAATATTTGTGTTGTTTTATTGATTATAAATAAAGAGAAAACTATTTGCTGGAGGATAAATCAAGCAATTAGTCTTTTGTGAAGACTTATACTGTAAAAATCTCTTTTACTATGTTGTTATCATGTTTTAATAATAAGCAAGCTCAAATGCTGCTCTTTTGCCAGATTTTTGAAGAGACTTAGTCTGAAAGTAATTTTTGATTTTTCTCATGATGGAAAGAGTTCATGGTGAAATTTAGATGAGTGAATATGAAGTGACAAAATATTTATTGTTTCATATGCCTAACTTGTGCCTAATTTGACTTAGGGGGAAGAAACTTAAGAATAGAGGATATCCTTGAAGTATTGAGAAGGAAGGAGACTCAATCGCAGTGATCCTGTTCAGTGGGCTCCTTTTTATACTGGGCAGTTGTTTAATATTCCTGCCATCACCAAAGCTGGACAAGCAAAGGTATGTATCCTTTCCTCCTCCCACCTCACCTTGACCATCACCCGGCTGAAGAACGTTCTAACTGCACTTCTAGGGAGGTACCTTTGTTTGTGTCTGTGTAAAATTATATTAAGAATTAAGAAAAGAATAAGCCTTACATTTAAAGAAAAAATGGTAGTCTTTCTTTGCTTTGGGCATCTGTATTTAAATCACTTTTTGCCACTTTTGTGCTCTCACCTCCTTACTAACAGCTGCTCTCTGGTGGGTTGCCTCTTGTCAGCAGGCCAGCAAGCTCCTGCAGGTGATGTTTTGTACTTCAACTGCTCAGTCAAAACACTTAGGACAGCAGACACAACATACTTGGGATAGTAACTACATGTTACGGACTGTTAGAAACTCAATTTGGTATTTTGTCTATTATAACTCATTCTAAATATAAATCAGTTCTCACTTAGCCCTAGGTATCTAAAGAGGGAGAAATGTAGATTTAAATTTTATAAGTAGATCAAGTTTCACACAAGTTACTTTAAGAAGGCCATTTTATTCCTAAGAATTCTTGGGAAATTTTTTACTGCCTATAACAAGAGGGCCTTTTTTCCCTTGTACATTACTAAATTGCCCTCAACCTGTTTCCATTCTGAAATCATGTCTCTGTGTACAACCGTTGTAAAAAATGTTTTAGTTTTTATTTGCCTGAAAAAATATCAGGGGCAACATCCAACAGTCACAATTTATATTTAAATCCTTAAATAACAGTTCATTCTCTTCAGTAATCAAGTCATGTATTTAAAACTGTGACAATTGAATTTTATTCTGAACATTAATAAGTTATGGGATTAATATATGTGTGAGGTCTAGTTAATATATTTCAGTTATTGAAGCTAATGAATGGAACTATGAAAGAAATTTAGCACCGTTATTAGCAGTCTCTAGGAATTTCCAACCACGACTTCCAACTGGTTTGATGGATAACTGTGAAAGTGGTGCATTACAAAAGATGTAAAGATAATGTCTTCTTAATTTAGATATTAAATGTTAAGCACCAAAATAAAGAGAGGCCAATAAAAAATCCACATTTTAAAGTGTTATGCAAGGAATCAGCAGTCCCTGTCCCCTTCGTACATAGGCATGTCTCATTAACCTTCCTAGATAACGAGATAGGAAGATAGACAAGAAAGACCACAGGTTTTGGAATCACGCAGTCTGAGGTTCAAGTCTTGGCCAGGTCATTTAATTGTTATGTAATCTTGGGCAAGTCACTTGACTTTTTTGCCTCTTTGTTTTCAAAAGTGCTAATTTGGGGTAATAGGCCACCTCACCTCATAAATTCAATTGTGAGTATGAAGAGTATAAAACACATAATGGACTGGCACACATTCCACCATTAAATCCTGGTTTCTTCCCATTCTATTGTCCTCAATGAATACAAAGTTATAAAGTGGCTCAGATATAAGCTTTCTTTTATTTCCCATTGAAAAGCAAAACAAAATTGTTTATCTAGGTTTTATATGTAACTCTTATATTTAACTACTCTAATTGCTAAAACCATTCTTTAAGCGTTTTGCAAGCTTTCTTTCACTTAAAAAATGTAAGTGCCTACCAGATCAAATTCTCATGGAACTCTCAATCAAATAAATGAAAATAGGAATGAACAGCTCCAATCCAAAGTAGAATTCCTGTCTCATCAGGTATGCATATATTCATTCCTAATCAATAATGCCAATTTTCTAAAAAGGCCGTATCCATTTGGCTTACACTCTTACCAGCATATATGAGACTTTCTTTTGCTCTACATCCTTACCAATAGTTACTATTGTCAGTGTATAATTTTAGGTATTCTGATTAGTTTGTTGAGGTAATGTATGGGAGTTTTAGTTTGCAATTCCTTGATTATTGATAAGGTTGAGAATTTTTCAAATATTTATTGGCTTTCTGGATCTCTTTTATGAAATGCTTGTTCAAGTATCTTGCCCATTTTTCTATTGGAATATCTGTCTTTTCCTGATTTGGTTGCAAGTGGTATAGAAATTGAGTTTGAAGGAAAGAAAAAAAAAAATACTGCATTTCCAGTGGTCATCAAAGAAGAAAATGCATGAATTAGTGAAAAGAACAACTGATAGTGTGACCTTGATTCCCATAACGAATTGAAGATGCTGAAGCTTTCCTTAACTGAGGACAAAGCCTGAGATGTAGCAAGAGGGGGAGGCCAAGGAAAGTTAAACATAAGGTCAGATTAGAGAACTGTATCACAAGGGCAGTCCAGCAAGTGGCAAGAGACATCAGTTTGAAGGTGGTTTTCATTTTTCGTCTTTGAAAGTGTATACTTTATATTCTTGGCCAACCCATCTTTTTGGAGCTCTGCCTTACTTCCGTATTTCTCTATGTTTCATTACTTGTTTATAGTAAGAACTCCTTTTCTACACCCACTGAATGCAGATGTTCCCCATTGTTCTTTGCATTACAATCCCTAGTGATGTTCAACCATTGCCTCGACTCAGCTATCACTGCCAAGGGAAAGCTGCAGGCAACTCCTACAACAGAGAATAGCCCACATATCTGGGTGCCCCAGATACATCTTGAGATGCTCCAAGTAAATTTGTCTCCCTCCACCAAATAGCTCTGCTGTTTCATGCCACCATCCTCCTGGGCCATTACACTCAAATTACCTGCCCCTGACGTTTTTAACCACTCACGTAATTCCATCCTCTCAGACTCTGTCTTTCCTTTAATATTCCTAAGTCAAATATGAAGCTTTTTAGGTATGAAAAATAGAATCCCAGTTAAAAGCAGCTGAGAAGTATGGATTTCTTTTTCTGACTATAGAAGACTTGAGGCAGGAGGCTGCAGCTCAGTTATGTCTTGAGTGACATCTCCAGAGTTTTCTTAGAGTTTTTTTTCAGACTTCTCACATCTCGGTCATAAGACAGTCATCCCAAATCCAAATATCTCGTTTCTATTCAGGGCAGAGAGAAGGAAGATGGGAAAAGCAGCAGGGCAGCTTCATCTGTCCCTTTCATCCTAAGTGCTAAATCTTTCCCAGAAAAACCTAGCAGATTCCTGCTTATGACTCACTGCTTTCTGAAGTGGCAGCTAAGAAAGAGCATGACTAAGAAAATATTTCACATTTATGTCCCTATAGTAGAAACAGACTAAGATTAAAGGGTTGGGAATGGGGTTTGTGTTGGCTAACCTGCAGAATTTCTCACATTCCTCAGTTACACCCCCATGAGATCTCACTGTGTCTAACCTGTTCCCTTCTTTCCTCTTTCATCACTCAAATTTTTCTTTTCTTTCTCTTTCTCTCTCTCTCTCCCTTCCCCCTTCCTTATTTCCTTCCTTCCTTTCTTCTTCTCTCTCATCTCATTTCACAAAGCACTTGAAAAAAATTCATAGGAAATTAATAGGGTGACATAATAAAATATAAAGAGAGATAAATAAAAACAATACCTCTGTATCATCTTGAGAAATACTCCCACAAAGTATAATTTCTCAATTTGGATTATCATAAGAAATAGGTAACAAATAATCAAAACATTATTTTCTTTCTTTCTTTCTTTTCTTTCTTTCTCTCTCTCTTTCTTTCTCTCTCTCTTTCTTTCTTTCTTTCTTTCTTTCTTTCTTTTCTTCTTCTTCTTTCTGACAGAGTCTCACTCTGTTGCCGGGCCACAGTGCTGTGGCATCAGCCTAGCTCACAGCAACTCAAACTCCTGGGCTCAACACAATCCTCGCCTCAGCCTCTGAGTAGATGGACTACAGGCATGCACCAGCATGCCCGTAATTTTTCTATAATTTTTAGTCCCAATTAATTTCTTCTATTTTATAGAGACAAAGTCTCACTCTTGCTCAGGCTGGTCTCGAACTCCTGACCTTGAGCAATCGTCCAGCATCGGCCTCCCAGAGTGCTAGGATTACAGGCGTGAGCCACCGTGCCCAGCCCAAAACATTATTTTCAATGAAAACTTTAGTGTATGGTTAGTAGTAACAACCCCTTTAGGTATAAATAGAGTGATAAATGCCTTCACAGTGATAGTTTCTTTCTTGTTGGTGCAGCAGCCAGGGACCAACTTTCTCTCCATGTAGTGATTCAGGTTCTCAATAATTCAGGGTTGTGTCCTTTGGCTTTTGTGTCACAGAGCCCCTTCTGGATTCAGCTGAAGGGATGGGATAAAGGGATGTGAAAGAATATGTTAATTTCTTAAAAGCCTTATGTTACAAATAGCAAAATTTGCTTTCACCTGTATTTCATTGATTAACACTCAGTCTGTGGCCTTTTCTGAGAAATGAAGT